AAAATGACCCTACACTTTCCTAGAACAAAACGTTGTTGACCTGTGTAATAGATTGGCGCTTACACATACGTTAGTGTTTGACCGAGCTTCTCCTCCGATTTGTGGCGTACGCCTTGATGTTGTCACACAAAGAGGAGGGACGTACAGTTTTACGCCGACTCCGAACGGCGATTGTATTTTTTATGAGAAGCTGTTTTTTCATGGCAGAAACACACTCGGAGGTTTGCCATTGCCTGCCGAGGGACGACCGATGTTAAGAAAAAACCTTTTTTCAATTGTTTTTGTTTTTTGCGATGTTGCTTTGACTGTGGAGTGGAAGCGCGCGCTACACCACATCGGCCGACCTTCATAGTGCATATGTATATACACAAGTATTCAAATTAACTTACATTTGTGCCTTCTATATGTAAATACACGCGCTCACCCTTTCGAATCTCAAGTCCAAATGATTCCACTAAGTAGGAGAGAAAACAATTTAACTTAAAAAATAAAGAATTTACCTAGCGGGAAAAACTAACGGCTGCACTTGCTGGCGAATGCATTGCAGAGCAGAGTCGCTGCTCCATATGTAGGTACGTACATATATACATATGTACATAAGCATGTACATGCAATTACGCATGAATTGGTACATATGTGCATACATACCTACATATTTACATACATATGCACTTATATAATCCATATACCAGATTAAGTGCGAAGGAGAAATTGAAATTCGGCTGGAAGTAGAAACTTGGAATGCGGCTGGAAGTACACTGCTCGGCCGCTCAATACTCCCCACCCCGTAATTCACAGCATGACTGCGCTGTGTATTACCATCTCATTTTATGTCTAACTTAGCGAGCTTAACTGCTGGGCGAGTAACAATTCCGTCAGCTATACGAACAATATCACTGCGGACTTGTCCATCTTTAGCGCGGTGTGTATCTACGACTATACCCTTTGGCCAAGAGCAGCGTTTATTGTTCTCGTCTACAATGTTGACTATGTCGTTCACGGCGATAGGTTCAAATGGGCGGCTGGAACCACTTCGTGCGTCTGGTTAAAGTAGGTAGATATTCGCGCAACCCCCCTCTTCCAAAAAACGTCGGCTATCATACCAGCTATGCGAAAATCCTTTTCTAATCAGGCGCCGGTTTGGCTTTGCTCTCCTCGCTCGCGTAACCCACTGGAGCTGCCAACTAAAAAGTGGTTGGGAGTTAGCGCCTTCGCATCGCTCGACTCCAAAGGAACGTATGTAAGTGGTCGTGAGTTTAGGGTAAACTCGACATCGGCTAAAGCTGCACGCAGAATTTTCGGGCTTTCGGTAGAATTTCGGTTAATATCGATTTCGTAGAACGTACCATTCGTTCCCACGCACCCCCCATATGGGTCGCGCCAGGAGGTATAAAGCTGAATGACATCTCTGGGTATTGATTCTCTACGCCTTTTGATGATATACATTCGATACTTTCTTGCAGAATCCTACTAGCACCACGAAAATTAGTGCCTTGTCCGAGAGCATTCGTTTGGGCACGCCTCGTCGCGTAGTGAATCCTTTTAGCACCATCAAAAACGAGTCGGTGCATAGCGATGGAACAATGTCTAGGTAAACTGCTCGCGTTGTGAGGCATGTGAACAAAACACCTCAGCGTTTCTCCCTGCGCCGTCCAACTGCAATGTCTCTAGGGCCAAAGTAGTCCACGCCAGTAAACGTAAATGGCCGAGTATGTGGCGACAACCGCTCAATAGGAAGTTCACCCATTTCTGGTGGCATTGGTTGGGCCTTTCGTATTCGGCACGCTGGACATTGTTTTATATCTTCTCTTACCAGAGCGCGCAGTCCAAAAATCCAATAGCGATGACGTAGCTCGTAAACGGCAATCTCCCCATGTAGATGGTAGTGCTTCCTATGATGAAACTCAACGACCAAATATTTTACTCGATGGCGTCGCGGTAGGATAACAGGGCGCTTCACGTCAACTTCAACTCCTTCAATAGCATCGACTCGACCTCTGATGCGAAGAACTCCGTAGTCATCTAAGTAAGGCGAGCATTTGAACAATATACTTTTTCGATCACTTAAACGACGGCCAGTCTGCAGGCAGTTGATCTCATCAAAAAAGCATTCTTCCTGGCCAATGTGGATGAGCACGACATTCATCTCGACGTCTCCCTTTAATTGTATGATTTTTCGCAGTAGTACTTCGAAAGGCTTCTTCGATATGTTTCTCAAAAAATTCAGCACGCATCGCTGTGCCGCTAGAAGATGTTCCAATTTACTAAATCGGCTAGGATCAGGTGAGATGCATGACAGTGCTGATGAACGATCAGGGATCTCCTCAGTATGGTACATTACGCTTTCCATAGATTTTTTTCCTTTTAAGTCTATTTCCGGCCACTGCGACTCATTCATTTGTAAAAACTCGGGGCCAGTAAACCATCTTATAGACCCATGAATCTTAGGCGTTGTGACCCATTTAGTTCCGTCGTCAGATACATTTTGAGTTGAAGGAACCCAGCGCCAGTTGCTTATCTCGGACCCTTCCAAAATCTCGCCGATTCGAACTGCCACAAATTGCTGAAATTTTCGCGCATCAGAACGTATCCAACAAAGCACATCTCTTGAGTCCGTCCAGAAGTATCGCCGATCAATACGTATTGATGCTTCGGACTCAACACAGTTCGCTAGCCGGAGCCCTAAAATTGCTGCCATCAATTCCATACGAGGAATCGATATGGGCTTCAGTGGCGCAACTCTAGTTTTAGAAGCCACAATAAGACAGCGGACGTCACCGTTCATGTCAGCACGCAGAAAAGACACAGCAGCGTAGGCGTCAATGCTAGCATCTACAAACGCGGGCAACTGAATTGACTTTGCACGACCTCCAAACGGCATACATCGAGGCACACGCACGTCGTTCAGCCTCGGAACTAAGTGTAGCCAGCGCTGCCAATCGTTTTCGTCACCTTCTGTGAGGGTTTCATCCCATCCGACTCTAGATCGCCATATATTTTGAAGAATGATTTTGGCTCTTATGTTGAAAAATCCAAGTAGTCCAAGCGGATCAAAAATTGACATACAACGCTTAATATTTGACGTTTCGTTGACTGGGCGGTCGATGCTTTAGCAATTAGCTGGGGTTTTACGACGAATGTCAGCGAGTCTTCCAGCGGCAGCTACCACATGCCGAGAATTTTCTCCCTAGGCTCGTTGGACAGCGCAAATTTTTGGTTACCGTTTCGTTTTCTTTGTCTAATGCTTGGACGACACTCTTTGAATTTGACAGCCAATGCCTTATTTCGAACCAACCGTCTGCGGAAATGCGTTTCACATTAGCTGCTAACTCTAACATTTCCTCTTCGGAGTCCCCGGACTGTAGCCAATCATCGACAAAAGTGTTTCTGCGAATCGCCTCAACAGCTTCTGGGTTTTTAACTGCAAACCGATCAGCGTTCCGATTCCTTATGTAATTGGCAAGAGCGGGAGAACATGATGCGCCAAACGTCATGAACTGCATAACGTATATGTCGGGAGAACGCGTTCTATCGCCGTCTCGCCATAGAAACTTTTAAACAGCTAGGTCTTCCTGTCGCACCTTTACCTGAAGGAAAATTTCACGTATGTCTCCTGTAACCGCGATTCTCCGTTCTCGGAAACGCATAACGACGCCAATCACTGAAGCTAATAGAACGGGACCTTTTAACAGAACGTCGTTCAGCGATACGCCATGTACTTTGCCTGCTGCATCCCACACCAATCGCGTTTTGTTCTTGTTCGGATTGGTCACTATGAATATAGGGAGAAACCACGAACGAGTATTTCTCCCAAGCTCACCTTCACTCAATTTACGTATGCAGCCCTTTTCACTGTAGCTTTTCATAGTATTCACCATGAATGAGCTCAACTGAGGATCTTTCACCATCTTCGCTTCGAGACAGTTAAGTCGTTTGATAGCCATGTTGTAAGAGTCAGGTAACTCGACGCTATCAAATTTCCACAGCAGCCCCCTCTCCCAGCGCTTTTCACTTGAAAGGTATTTGGTCGTTTTCTCCACATTTTGTAGCGAGCGTTCATCTTCTTTGGACCTCAATGGCTTGTTTGCGATGCTGACGCCTATCGACTCTATAGAGAAATACGACTTCATAGCTTCATCTAACTTGCGGGTGATGCTAGCGTCGCTGCATTGGCATATATGCAATACATGTGGAATATAATCGTCTTTGTTGTTGTGCCGCCCGTACACTGCCCAACCAAGCCTGCAACGAACAGGAATAACGTCGTCGCCTTCGGCTTTACGTAGTTCCATAGGGACGCTCACCTTGATGTTATCGAGCCCGATGATGATTTGGGCCTTTACGTTTGTATACGGCTGAAGAGGTATCGATTTTAGGTGGCAAACACGCTACCGTACGAACACCTTTTAGCAAATACCGCTGTTCCTCTTTGCCGGTTGCCGAAACGCTGAGATAGACTGATTTTGAGTTATGCTCTATTTGTGTCACATCGCCAGTCCATTTTAAACACAACTGCTTGGAGGGACCATCCAGCTCAAGTTCGCCTATCTCTATTAGTGTGCATTCAGCGCCTATCTCTATTAGTGCGTACGTATGTACTTTGCGCGCCTTACCGAAAATGGTAACTGGAATATAGCGGAACAGTGTCTTTGTAGCGGGCCGGCTATGGAACAATACAGCTGACTCAGAAATGCGTTTATTTTCATTTTGACGTTGTGGGTCAACGTCGCCTCGTTCAACTGCAGCGGAGTGCAGTAATATGCTATGAGTCGATATACACCCATCCACACCGCATCGTTTTTTCGTTCTGCGGTGCCGCACGAGATGTCGCAAAAAACAAGAGAAGCAAAGCCGCTCACTCTTGACAAACTCCCACCTCTGCTTCACATTCAGGGCCCGAAACGCTTCACAGTCTGGTAAACGATGCTGTCCTTTACACTTTGGACATGAAACCTTATCTGATGATCGCGACTTCTTACTATATTCACTGCCGCTATGGTCCTCTACCACATCGTGAACCAGTACGCGCTCCTTGACTTGCTTGTCTCCTCCATTCCTCGATCCTACCGCCCCTTGTGGCTCGTATGATGTAACCATAGTTGCGCACATGGCCACATTAAACAATCAGATAATCTATGTCTACCCCACTCAAGCTTCAAGTCGCTGGGCACCTTGGCGACAAGTTCGTTCAGCAGTAGGGGATCATTCAGATAATCGTTTAGGCCGACTGCTGACATTGTGGCGCAGTAGTTTTGAATGGCAAGTGCTAGTCGGATTGCGGAGTCTAGATTGTTGGGTTTGATGGCAGGCTCTTCCCTCAATTTGCGTTGTAAAGTGGATGCACCATTTCAGGGCGCCCAAACAACATTTTAAGTGTTCCCATCACGTACGGAACAGTAGCAGGAATGGCAGTGCAGAAATTGAAGCATTTTTGTAATCGGATCAGGTTTTCTTCATTGCTGAATCTGCATCTTTCCGTTGATTGTTCATAATTGCTTATAAACAGAAGCCACTCTTCTTTTCTTTCTTTTATCAGTATTTTTCTTTTAATCAAAATATGTTGAAAGAAAAGTGAAAAAAAATTTCCAGACCGCCCCCCTAAAAATTTTAAGCAATAATCAATTAATAGCTAAGCGTTGGTTTTACTACGACCTTGGAAAGACGAAAAAATTTACTTGTATCCTGAAGTATGTATGTATGTGAATACAATATTGCAGCAGCTTTCTACCTACTTTTCTTTATTTTCCACTAATAATAAGTATGCTTTAGAAATATTTACGGAAATAGAGCACATGATTTCGTTCATTTTAGAGTTGTAGCAGGTAGTGAATTTTTTTTCAAACTGCATTTCGCTAAGTGCGGAATTGTGTTGTTTAGTTGGAATTTCCCTGAATACCAGATATTTCGTAAGTACGTACGTTTTTCATAAAATTTGATTTTGTAAGAGTTTTTGGATGTGCACTTACATAAATGAGATAAACAATGCGGGTGCTCCATTCGCGATCACTCACAACAGCTAATCCTTAAAACTTGTTAGGGCGTTGTATGGAAGATATTTTTTCGCTTTTCTAAGTAACTAGCAGACCCGGCGAACTTCGTCCCGCCCAAAATTTTTATATACTTTATTGAAACTTTTTGGTCCAACATTTTTACCAACAATTCACGTTTACGATTTCTATTGGCACATTTGTCTGCTAAGATTAAGGTTTGGTGGTTATTTGCCGCTTTAAATGACCTAAGCAAAGTGTTATATCCGTTCTTGAAATTCTCCAGTTGTGCGGCATTTCATAGCACGGTTATTCGCGAAGCGAAATAAATTTTTTTCTCTTCACTCCCTGGCGGCAACAATGACCCGATTCTATAGTGAATGTCGTAGAAGCTTTACAGTATAGTAGGTTGCAATTTCAAAATGGGTGCAAATTATTGTTCTACAGAAATGCAATATACATATACTTATTTCAGACGAAATACCTTAAAATTTTGAACGCACAATAATATTGGAAAATCACATCCATTGGGCCAATTGCAACGCAGGAGCGTTCGATATACTCAATGGTGCAACAGGTCGATTTAATCTGACCTTCACGGCGCCTTTTCTCACTTGGCTATTTTTAGTAATAGCTCGACTTCAGCACCACTTGGCAGCACGTTTTTGCAATAGTATTGCAAACATATTTAAAACATTAGCAAAATCGGATCATAAATAAGATTTTTAGTAATAACTCAGCTACAGCGCCAACTGTCGGATTAAATTGAGAAACTAAACCATCCAGAGACCCACTAAAATACACAAAAAGTTTCGTTAAAATCCGTACAACCATTTAGGAGGATTTCACTCACCAACACATCTACAAAAGAATTAAAAAATACATTCAAAGATAGCTAAAGGTCGGTACGTTTGTAGGCCTCACACCCCTTTTCAAATAGCCCAAATTTTCTCCATGAGTATGGGCTTGATTTCAACTATATACATATCTCCATACGAAGGTCCAGTACTGTACCATGAATACTTTCAGAGATATGCAGTATAAGAATTCGATTTATATGGGAGGAGCCACGCCCCCTTTTCCAACAGCTGTGCTCTTTCTTCATGAGTATGCGATTGATTTCGTATATCTCCATACAAAACTCTAGAACTCTACCAAAAAATTTCCAGAGATAAGCAGTATGAAAAATTCGGTTTGTATGGGAGATGACACACCCCTTTTTACAATAGCTAAAATTTTTCTCCAAGGGTATGCGATTGATTTCGTATATTTCCATACCAATTTCCAAAACTCTACCATGCACACTTTCAGAGATATGTAGCATGAGAAATTCGGTTTGTATGGGAAGTGCCACGCTCCCTTTACATATAGATTTTTTTTCAGCCTAAAACCAACCTTGGGACACGTGCGGCAGGTGGCAGTTTCAAAAAAATCGCTTCAGCCACTCTCGAGCCTTGCGAAAACTAACAAACGGCTTTCTAAATATAAATTAGTTGAGATATATTATAATTATATTTTAACAGTATCCGCTGTTTCTGATTGGCGCAAAAAAATCTTGCCTAGTGACGAATTCGCCCCTTGATATGGTCGTTACTTAAAGCTATTTATATTCGAAATAGCATGAAAATTGGAAAACAGGAATCTATAAGCTTATCCAGGCAAAAAGCTACTTACGTACCGAATTTTAAGCAAATCGGACCATAAATGCGATTTTTTGGAATAGATCGGTCCCTGGTCCACTTCTCGGTAAAAATTGATCACATATGCTAATACATGCTAAAAAGCTACTTACGTACTAAATTTTAAGCAAATCGGACTATAATGAGATTTTTTTCGAATAGACCGGTCCCTGGTAGCCTAAAACATGGTGGTTTCCGAAAGCTATTTGTACACAAAATTTCATGAAAATCTGACCAGCCGTTCGCGAGATTACCTGTTACAAAAAAAGGGACTTCTCTTTATATAATTAGTATAGATTACGCTATAATTGCACATATACATATACATTGTAGTCAGTTGTAGAAGTAATAGAAAAGTCGTCCCATCCTGCAGGGACACCGCGGACTAGTGAATCAAATTTCTAGTTCTGTACTAGGTCTTTATAGCGAAAAACCAACTAGTCAGCTAGTAACAAGATCCTCACCAGTCCAAAATCTTCGAAAAGAGATACAGGTTGCATTTCAGCCACAATGTGAAATGCTATACTATATTAACGATATGTTGAAAATTTGCATACTTTGCCACAAAGTATCAAAGCACATTGAGCAGAAGGAATGAAAAAACAAAACCGATCTGATATGGTACTGACAGCGGTGAGTAAGTAATTGTGACTGCCTGCAATTAGGAAAAGTCGATCTCAGCTAATAAAAAAAAAAACTAATTAGAAGCTATTCATTACAGGTGAACTATTTCAAAAAGTCACCCGGGAACTAAGCAAATCTTAGACCTTCATCCGTGATTCCGATAATTCAAATTATTATAAATAAACGGGATTCCTTTTTAACAAAACAAGAAGATTTTAAACTAATTCGGCTGGCAGCCACGACTTTCAAACAGAATTTTCTTCGAAATTTTCATTCCCATATCCACCTATTTACAACCTCGCTATAGGCACACATTTTACAAACCAGTCACAGAAGAAAGGACTAAAAATGAATTACAAAAACTAAAATCGAAAATCGCTGATGATGTTACAGGTTCTCCAAATTCTGAAGCAACCAAAAGAATGAGAATGAAGAATTCTATGGTGTTTAAACAACGATCTTTTCATGATGCTAGATTGTGAAGATGAAAGGCAGGAGGATACATCCGACATTTGCAGCGCCGATGCAATTCTCAGAAAGGAGTTATTGGAGAGAATTTACAATTTTGTCAAGTTCCAAGTTTTTTAAGCTATTCGCCTTGAGCGAGTAGTTATTTAGCAGCGCAGGCTTAATTTAGGACCTTTAAGAAACAGGCTTTAACCCAATTCCAATTTTTAAATTCAAGTACGAATTTAAAAAAAAAAAAAAACATTATTTAAAATTACTACCTTTTCCATATTTTATTTACCTAAATCACCTAATTAACCCACCTAAATTATTTCTTAAAAATACTTGGCATCCGCATTCGCATCCGCGGATGTCTAAAATTCCACATTCGCAACATGCCTAATATATACATATGTATGTGTGCATAGATATGAAATGCAGACTTCCGTTTTATTGAGTTTTCTTCTAAGTAATAGATTCATCCATATTCATACATATTCTTATTCTGTTTACGTATGTATATTCTCGGTTTCTTATTAATATTCCTATAATGGCGAATCGAAACATTTAAGAGAAATAAAAAATTAATATGTATTGTTTTTTCTGCTTTTCTTTACTCTCAGTCTTCACTAGACGCCCACTTTTCTCATTAGTCAATCTTATCCCCACTAAGTTCCATTTATTAGATACTAGCAGACCCGGCGAACTTCGTGCCGCCCAAAATAATTTTTTTGTGCTGCAACATTTTGGCCTAACATTTTAACCAACAGTTCACGTTCATAATTTTCAGTGACGCATTTATCTTCTAATATTACGGTTTGGTGGTTGTCAGAAGGCATATTTCCATTGCCGTCTTAAATAACCTAGCAAAACTGTACATGTGTATAAAGAAACGTAATAAGTTCAATGCTTTGAAAGGCGCCATGTCCCCTTTTCAAATAGCCCCAATTTTCTCTAAGAGTATGGGATTGATTTCACATATCTCCATACCATTTTTGCGTAATCTAACGTTGGAGGTACCACGCACCTCTTTCCAATAGCCCCTATTTTTCTTCATGACCACTCGACTGATTTTATATATCTTGTACATACCAAGTTCCAGTACTCTTCCATGCAAACATCCAGAGATATGCAGTATATATATCTTGTACATACCAAGTTCCAGTACTCTTCCATGAATACATCCAGAGATATGCAGTATGAAAAATTCGGTTTGTACGGGAGGTGGCACACCCTCTGCACCTAGCGGTATGAAATATACTTTACATCCGATTCTCATACCTACCACATATTTTTAGTTCGCCCTCTAACACCGTGAATGAGATTTTTATATATTAGAGAGCAGAGCACCCGACGTCGT